TTGTCAGCCAGCAAAGCCAAGGGAAGGCACAGCTCCATCCAATGCAAAAGTCATTCTTCTCCCTGGCTCTGCCCTGGCCCTGATCCCCACAGCCTGTCCTGTTTCCTTCATCCCTCCTTTGCCAGGCACTTTCTGGGACAAGGGAGCTCTGCTATGGCTATAGAGGGAGGTCCAAGTGCAGCCCCTGGAGAGGGAACCACAACTCATGAAGTTTGTGTCCTTTGAGGGACCAGGAACTGGTGAGATTCAGAGGCACAGTAAAGGTTTCTTCATAGCCAAAATAAAAAGTGTGAACATAATAAAATTTAATAAACATTAAAAACCTTCCTGCCAGCTCCTTGTGACATCCCAGCAACATCCCACCACCCCTAAGGGATTGCCATACAGGAAGGATTTTAGACAAAGACACAAGAAGAGGTGATATAAATGATAAAAGTACAACTAAAATGTGGGCTACAGTGTTATTTTACCTTCTGAAAGATTGGGCAACTCCCTGAAGCTCAAAGCATGAACCCAGTCAAAGGACACACATTGGAATGACCAGAGAGCAGCTGCAGGAGGAAGTCTGGGAGCAAGGGGAAGGACACAGATCCAGCTGCTCTAAATGAAGAGATGTCCTTAGACATGGCCATTTAACCAGGAGAGCTGGAAACACCTGAAGGAAGAGAGTCAATTAAGTATTAGACTGAATGTTGGGGGCAAAGGTAGAGGGGAAGATCAGTATTACATCTCCTGCCATCAGCAGAATGCATGAGAACCAGGAAATTTATGTTCCTGGTAGGAAAACTTGGCCATTTCTCGAAAGTATTGAAATCTCCCAGATAACAATGATGCTCTTGTACGGCCCAGGGCCCATCCCAAAGCTGGGGCAGCCACAAGGCTGTGCTCATTTCTGTTCACTGCTGCTCTGATGGGGATGGATCCTCAGGCACTTAGAGACTGATGATGAATTTTACCACTCCAGAGGCCTCTTCTTTCTTGAGCTCTTCAGTTCAGGAATTCAGTGAAAAAAGCTAATAAACATTTGCTCAAAATACCTGAACAAGAGAAGCCGCTGGGAATAATATAGTTTTCAATTCTTCTGGGGCAAATTAGATAGATTCCAGGAATGTATTCAAAGTGAATACACAGTATTGAAAGCAATGCAGAGAGAACTATTTTGTCTTGTTATGTTTTCTTTTCCTATTTATAGCTTGATATCAGTAATGTCCAATTGATATTGACCCCCAGCACCTCCTAATGCAGTACAAACAGATATGAAAATCAAGACCCTTCATGGCCGACAAGCAGAAACACTTTTTCCCACCCCCTCCCCACCATTTCTCTCATCTAACCCCTGGCACTCCTATGGATCCGGAATGGTGTGGCCAGAAGACGCAGGGCAGTGATTCTTCCCCTGTGCTCAGCACTGCATGGGCAGCACCTCGAGTGCTGTGTCCAGTTCTGGGCCTCCCAAATTAGGAAGGACATGGAGGGGCTGGAGCGTGTCCAGCAGAGGGCAGCAAGGCTGGTAAAGGGTCTGGAACACAAGTCCTGTGCGGAGTGGCTGAGGGCGATGGGGGTGTTTATCGTGGAGAAGAGGAGGCTCAGGGGAGACCTCATCACTCTCTACATCTCCTTGACAGGAGTGTGCAGCCAGGTGGGGGCTAGACTCATTTCCCAGAGAACAGTGACAGGACATGAGGACACAGCCTTAAGCTGCACCAGGGGATGTTTAGGCTGGACACTAGGAAATGTTCTTCAAACAAATTGTGATTGGGCATTGGAATGGGCTGCCCAGGGAGGTGGGTGAGTCACCGTCCCTGGAAGTGTTTAAGGAAAGACTGGATCTGGCACAGAGTGCCATGGTCTGGGTGACAAGGTGGTGTTGGGTCCCAGGCTGGACTTGATGATCTCCAAGGTCTTTTCCAGCCTGGTTGATTCTCTGACGATTGTGACCCTGCAGGGCCCTGGGGAAGCAAGGGGCCATTGTGACACTGCAGAACCAAGGAGACCCTTGGGAGAGCCTGGGGAAAATGGAATCAAGGGGCCATTGCTCCATTGCAAGGACTCTGGGAACTGAGGGAACAATTGTGACACTGTGGTGCCCCATGGAACCAAGGGTCCCGGGTGACACTGCAGATCTTGTGCCACCAGGGCTCCATTGTGACACTGCAGCACCAAGGAATTCATTGTGGCACTCTGAGGCCTCATGGAACCAAGAGGCCACTGTGACCCTGCAGGGCCTTGTGGAACCATGCAGAGCATTGTGAAAGAGCAGGACCTGGTGTCATGATGGGGCCATTGTGACACTGCAGGGCCCCATGGAACCAAGGGGCCAGTGCTGCTCCTCAGGGACTCCTGGAATGAAGGAAACATATTTGACACCGTGGTGGCCCATGGGACCAAGAGACCATTGTGACACTGTGGAACCAAGGAGAAGAGCATTGCTGCACTGCCAGACCTCATGGAACCAAGGATCCACTGGCACACTGCAGGGCCTGGGGGGACCATGGTGCCATTGTGACACTGTGGGGCCCAAGGATCCAAGGGACTTTGTGACACCAAGAGGCTCCATGGAACCAAAGGGACATTGTGATCCTGGGAGTCCTCATGGACTCATGGTGACCAGTGGGACACTCTGGGACTTTGTGGAACCATGGTGACACCAAGCTGGTACAGAACGTTGACCTCCTGGAGGATAGAAGGGCTCTGCACAGGGACCTGGACAGGCTGGATCCAGGGGCCAAAAACAGCAAGGTGAGGTTTAACAAGTCCAAGTGCCGAGTCCTGCACATTGGCCACAACAACCCCTGCAGCACCACAGGCTGGGGACAGAGTGGCTGGTCTGTGCCTGCAAGGATGCGGCACTTCTGTGAGCTGGGGGAGAGGCCAGGGCTGCAGAGGGGGGATGTTGTTGTCAGCTCCATGAGGATGCTCTGGGACGCTGCCCTGGGCTGTGCAGCGCCCTGGGGATGGATCAGCCCCTGCTCTGCTGCTCCTTCCTGTGTGCCCCAGGGCCCTTGCAGAGCCCCAGCCATGCTGTTTGCCCCCAGCCTGCCCATGGCCAGTCTGGGGCTGCTCACCCTGGGGCTTTTCTGTGCTGAGCATTGGCCTGGCCGTGTTCTTGAGAGAGCCTGGGCAAGGAGCCTGGAGCCCCCAGGGCCTGGCCTGAGGCGTCAGCGCTGCCCCAGCAGTGCCCATGGCCTGTCCCTGCTGCAACCACGGCACTGCCACCCCCAGGACTGTGCCCGGCCCCGAGAGCACTCAGGCCCTGCAGCAACACCAGGGCCACCAGGGCAGCGGGGCAGGGCCACGGCAGCAGCACTGGAACACCAAGTGCTGCTGCTGCTGCTGGGCACAGCTGCTGGGCCAGCACTGATCTGCCCCAGCTCTGCACACAGACATTGCTGCTGCAGCTCCAGAGAAGGCAACAAAAGGGCATCTCTGCAGAAATCTCTGCAGAGAGATCCTTTGGTTCATTTAAAGCCACCATGAGTGCAGCCCCTCATTGACACAGTCTGTGGCCACAGGGAAGGTGGAGAGAAACAAAATGAGAAATGGCACATTTCGTTTTAGACAGTATGAAAATTGCAAATAAGGGAGCAAAAACCTCACAACCAATCGAAGAAGAATTATCAAGGAGAACTATTATTACAAGTTATTTGCAGAAATTGGCCAGCAGTTTAATGTTTCTGAAATCTTCCAGTCATCATTCTCCACACTGCAGCCTTGAGCTCTTGGTTCCTCAGGCTGTAGATGAGGGGGTTCAGGGCTGGAGGCACCACCGAGTACAGAACTGACAAGGCCAGATCCAGGCATGGGGACGAGATGGATGGGGGCTTCAAGTCGGAAAATATGCCAGTGCTGATGAACAGAGAGACCACAGCCAGGTGAGGGAGGCATGTGGAAAAGGCTTTGTGCCGTCCCTGCTCAGAGGGGATCCTCAGCACAGCCCTGAAGATCTGCACATAGGAGAAAACAATGAACACAAAACAGCCAAGTGCTAAACAAGAACTTACAGTGAGAAGCCCCAGTTCCCTGAAGTTTGAGTGTGAGCAGGAGAGTTTGAGGATCTGGGGGATTTCACAGAAGAACTGGCCCAGGACATTGCCATGGCACAGAGGCAGAGAAAATGTATTGGCCGTGTGCATGAGAGCAGTGAGAAAGGCACTGGCCCAGGCAGCTGCTGCCATGTGGGCACAAGCTCTGCTGCCCAGGAGGGTCCCGTAGTGCAGGGGTTTGCAGATGGACACGTAGCAGTCGTAGCACATGATGGTCAGGAGGGAAAGCTCTGTTGCAAGGAAGAAGATAAGCAGAAAGACCTGAGCAGCACAACCTGTGAGACAAGTCAGGGCAGACTTTGCTGTGCAATGTCCAAGTCCTTTCTCCCAGCCCTGCCCTTGCTTCTCTGTGTCACCCAGTTTTCCTTTTCTCAGAGCCCTTCCTTCAGCCCTGTGCCTGGAGCTCTGCTGAGATCTGGCCCCGTTGCTGTGTCAAGCAGGGGCTCTGCCCATGGACACCGAGGGTTCAGCTCTGCTCTGCAGCAGTGGGGTCAGGGGAACGGGGACAGGGGCCAGTCCTGGGCTTGGACTTCATCAGCCCAAACTGCTCCTGAGGCAGAGGAGCTCGGCAGCATCTCCTGTCCCAGGGCTAAGGAATGGCGACAGCCAAAGGCAGTTTGAGAGGGTTTCCTGCTGTGCCCAGGGGGTCAGAGAGAACTGTGCAATGCAAGAGCAGTGGCTGTAACTCACTGAAGGGTGAGGGGAGCTGCTCTGTCACTCCATCTGACTCTGGCTGCCCTTTCTGAGATCCAGAGCAGTCCCTGTGTTCCCCTGAAAATCAGCCTGACACAGCTGAGAGCAGAGGGACCCACAGCACAGTAAATTGTCTCAGCCTTTGTCAGAGTCTCAGCCCCACTCTGGCCAAGGACACTCCTGTCCCCCAGTGTCCCCTGGAGGCAGCTCACAGCTTGGATGGCATCCAAGGACACACCAAGGGTCCTGTCCACGGCACTGCCT